TCTTCCGAGCACTGTGGCACAGCAGTACCTGGGGAGAACTCCACAGAAGTCTAGACAAGGCATTGCTGAAGGAGCCTGGCATCCATGTGGGTGATTTACGCATGCAACTCAGAAAACATACATAAAATATCACTCTCCTAGAAGAATAATGAAAACTAAATTAAAAGGGCAAATAGATAGCAAATTAATATTGTATTTTTCTCTACCTCTCGCCGCTCTTCAGCAGCAAATGACAAATAACTACGAACCTACTTCACCTTAATGAACTTAACTGGGCCTATTTTAATATTGGGGGAAATATTAATATTGTTTCAACCAGACAAATTTACTAAGTCACGCATCAACAAAGATGTGGATACCTCTCCTGCTCCTCCTGCACAGTTCTCTATTACTTTAGGCTCTCAGAGACTAGGAAATTTGAAAGCATTTTAAAAAAATAAATAATAAAATAAAATCAGTATAGGCCAAACCCTACATATGAGTGCTGAGATGAGCCCAGTGAAGTAGGAATCACACAGGAGACAGAACTGAAGCTCAGGCACCCAGTGTGCTGGAGGGCCGCATGCCTGGGCAGGTCTCCAGGAAACCCTTGTGTGGGCTTGAGGGGAGCCAAGGAGCACCCCTGGGCAAGTCTCTTCCTTGAGCTCCTAGGGACCAGCACACACACGGAAAACAGGTGCCCACACTCAACGGGGGCAAACATCCAGGTGTGCAGGTACAGCCTTGGGCACTGGGGCCCCACAGCTCACAACGGTTTCTTTATAAAGGTAATTTTTAATCCTTTAAAAACAGGTCCACGCACAGAGAAGCCAGCTAATCACACGGGTCTCAGTGCCCTGCTTTGCTTCCAGCCCAGTCCTTCCCCTCCAGCCTGCTGCCTTCTGGAGAGGTGTTGTAGCTGTGCCAGCCTCCACACAGGCAGCGCCTGACATCTCTGTCCTGCTTCTGGTGGGACAGCTGGCCAGAGAGAGAGTCACCTCACCCCTACCAGAAGCTTTGTTTTCCTAAACACTAATCATAATTACAAGTGGAAAGGTTTTCCCGCAACAGCACCACCACACGAGACTTGGACTCTTTCTCTGCTTTAAGCCGATCGCAGCAGCCTTGCTGGGTTCAAAGCCTGGGTAAGGCCATTTCACTGCTGGGAAAAGCAAATTTATTGCACAGTCGCATTGGTATATACCCGAAATCAGCACTGCATAAGGAAGGGAGTTTGTGCTTTTTCCGTTTAAGTTAAACGTGCTCCTCTGCCTCCGCACAGGTGAGTGAAGCAGGTTTTCGAGCCGTGGCAGCTAGCTGTCATCCCCATCTGAGGGCACTGGGGCTGGCACAAGCCATCCTGCCCCAAAAGCACAGCCCGCCCCACCTGCTGTAATGGGCACAGTTGCTTTTCTCCCCATTTGGGACTGCACCCCTGGGAGGAAGCATTTGTACCTGCCCACCAGGGCCGACATTGCCATTTGTCTCTTACAGCATCCAGGGGACTGACTGCACCTTCATCAGCAGCGGTACCCACGATCTTCAAAGCGTTAACATTAAATAACCCGCTGCCTTGTGGGATCCTCTCTGCAGTGCCTTTAGGAGAATTACATATATCCTCTGGGAGCTGGGGAACCTGAACTAAATGGTCCACAATTCTGTTCATTGCCATTGTCGCTCATTTTTGCCTTACACGCTTTTAATGCCTAGTGCTTTTTCCTTGCTCCATCCCTCCAGCTCAGGCACATCAACGCACAAACTGCACTGGAGTTTGCTAAGGAGCCTTCTGCTCACTACACAAGCAGCTCAGTATCACAAGCACCTCAGAAGGGTAATTACCCAGAGATGCAAGGCCACACAAATGATGCTCTGCTACACAGGCCTGTGACAGGCAGGAAATCAAGGGGCATCGGGCGATCACAGTAATGCAGAAAAAAACTGGATGTATGTCTCCATTGCCTTTTCCCACCTACTTCAGCACACATAGCTAAATGCCAGCGCTTTTCCACAACACCACGTGCTCCGTGGGATCCCAAGAATATTTTCTTGACATTATAATTCCACAATCAGCGCAGATGCAGGATATGTGCAGCCTCTAGGCATGCCAGGGTTTTGGAAACATGCCTAGAAATGAGGACAAACGTCCCAGGCTGACACTTCTAGTGACACCCCACCGTCAGTTTGGATTTGTGGTGACTTTGTCCACACGTTGCCTCTCCAGTGGATGAAATCCTACCACAAAAGCACTGGGACAGCAGCAAGGAGCACTTCAGCTATCGGATGAGCAAGTGGTGGATGCATGTTCACTGCATACGGGGTGACGAAACACTCTAAATGCTAGAGCTGCATCTCACCTTGCGCATAAAATTTGCAAAGTTGAGCAGCAGAGGGAGAGAAGGGATTTGGATAGACAGAGGCAATTACAGAAAAGCACTTGAAAGAGCTGCAGGGCTGAAGGAGGCCTTGCAAGGAGTTTGTCAGTAGATTGTATGTCAGTGCTACTGAGCTTACTGCTAGTTAGGGCAATGCCAAGTATAAACTACAACTTTGGCTCGTATATGAATTTTAAATGAGCCGTTAGTACACCCAATGAATCTAGCAAGAGAATACCAATTTAGGGCTCTGACAGTCTGCTCTATAAGACCAAGCAAATAACTCAGTAAATAACTCAAGTAAATTTCCCAACACTTTACTGAGCATGAGTGAACAAACAAAAAACAGAACCAGAATTGCTTCTACAGCCAGTACGTGCCGCAGGAAACCAGAGCCAGGGAAGATGCCGGATGGGATCAGAAAGGAATACACAGAATTCAAGGCTGGAAAAAAAGGGCTGAAACACCAAAAAGTTCACACCATTTTTTTTCCCCCCGTATATCAAGGAGAGAAATAGAGCATAGAGTAGTCCACATATTGTCCCTAGGCATGCCAAAAGCACAGGGAAGGTCACCCTGCAGCCTGTATTCTGCTCACTTTTTTTCAGAGATGATGCCTCTAAAGCTCACTGCAATGCAACACTCATTGCTGGTCCCATCCAGACTAGGAAAACTTCCTGTCACTCAAAGATTAAGCAATCTGCTGCCTAGAAACTCCACTGAGAAATACCAGGGCCAAGATCCACCCAAAACCTCAAGAAAGCAGCAGCAAGAAAGCTCAGTTTAAGAGCCAAGCCAAGCCCCCCTGACTCAGCATTGTTGTGCCTCCTTCTACCCTGGAAGCCAATGATCTCTCTTAGCATCTTGGTGAAGAACCCAGACACGACACTGCCTGTGTTCACCTCCTATTACTAATCATGTCACTGTGCATTTGAGTGGTCCATTACCAGATGGCTTTCAGAATTATTTTAAATGTTAGCTTGCAATTTCTTTGAATATGTAAATGTTCATGCTGGTCTGTTCTCCTTTTCATTGCGCTGCACTGATTTATGTTGCTAGATAACATATCTCCCCGCCTTGCCAAAAACATGCATTTGGGAATGATTTCAGGGATGCTAGTAACATTTTTTTTCCCTCTCCTTTTATTTTGTGCTTTATTTTTATTAACTTTTTCATCTGGATATTGTTAAAATAAAACTGTGTCTTGGAGATACAAAATCGAAACCCCAAACCCCTCCTTGGCTCTTTGTCCATCTGCCTCAGACACCATTTTTGGAGGAGTTAGCTTCTGAGGCCACGATCACAGCAAAAGCAGCTACGTACTAACCTACCTGAGCTTCCCCTCCCTCAGTAAATTCTTGCTTTAGGCTCACGTGTGGGAATGAGCTGGGTCCAAGCGGAGGACTGCTGGTGTCCCATTCTCAGGAGGTGACCAGAGACACCTGTGACTTGCCTGCAGGGTCTCGGGCCACTCTTAGATTTAACACTGTCTGGCACAGAAGCCACGACCTCCAGCACCTTCTAAAAGGATGAGCAAAGTTCCTATTCCCTCAACATTACTCCTCAGAAACTGACTTCTGCGTAGTAACACAAGTTCTTTAGTCCTCATCCTGCTGGCTCAAGTGGAGGATCTGCCCATCAGCATGAAATGCAGCCCGTGGAGCTGAGACTCTGCAGCTCGAGTGCTCCACATGAATCACACCTGCTGGGGATATAAAACACCCAGCCACCCTTCCTAGACTCCTGCCAGCACAGAGCCTCTCCTCGCTGTATTTCTGAGCTGCTCCATGCTCCACTAGCAGAGGGGAGAAGTAATTTTACTTCAACTGTCACCTGTGAAAGTTGCAAAAGGGGACAGGAACAGATTAGCCTCTTATCTGCAGCAAATAGTTAATAAAACCAGACAGAAGCTCCAAAAAATAAAACCCCAAACAGTCAGGTAAAGCAGTTTCTTTTCTAAACAACTGAGCAAAGTGCCAATACCAGGAAGCAAGTTTCATTGCAAGGTTTCTGGATGCATTTCTCTTCCCTAATCTGCACAGGCAGGGAGTGAAGATGACAGTGCCTCTTCCCCAATGCTTTTTCATAAAGCCCAAAGGAGAGCGAACGTATAGGACTCTCTCACAAATTGAGCATTCTGGAGTTATTAATGCTCTTGTGGCACCACTTAACTAGGTTCTGTTTGGGCTCAAACAATGCTTGTTCATCGATGTGGTGACAAATGTTTGTGACAAAAACCTATTTCCTTTTACGTGGAGCTTAGGAGAGCATCAAGGGGATGGAGCGTCACAGGGAGCAAGTTTCACTCCTCGGTGCCTCTTTGAGGAGTGGCTTTCACTTCAAATGTGTACAGAAAAGGATTCCCATCAGGTAACACTACAGCCATAAAAACCAGTGCAAATACATACACTCAATACAAACTGCATTTCGTTTACAAGAGGGAGGAGAGAACGTGGGACACTGTAGCTCAGCAAGTGGCTGAGCACACCAGCAACACCGGGAGTCCAGCCACCCCAGGCAAGGCTTGGCTTCCCTTGCCTGAGCGTATCTCCACAAACGACGAGTGGACGGACTGTTAAATGCAGAGCAGAGCAAGCTTTGTACTCACCAATCCTCAGGGAATGGGGGCTGGCAGCGCTCTTCGTCAGCCACAGCAGAAGGAGCACCAGAGGCGCCAAGACACGGGGCATCTTCTATAAATCCTCATGGAGCCCTTTGGTGGTCTGGGCATGACATAACTCTGCAGAGAGAACACACGGCACCCTGAGCACCTCCAACCAGCGACTCACCAGGATGACACTGCTGCGAGCTTGCCAAGCGCTTGGGACAAAGAGTCTGTTTACCAAAGGAGGGGGAGGAGGAAGCTATTTACAGGCTATGAATTATTCAGGAATTGGAGTCAAACTGGGCAAAGAGCTTCTAACAAAAAATGGGAAAAGAACACAAGGAAAAGTCCAAATATTTCATCTTGGCATTTTTAGCATTTCCACAAAAACAAGTGGAAATCGATATTGAGATGTATCTCTAATTTTTCTTCCTCCCCCCTCCTTTTTTTTTTTTTTACTCAGAGCAATCTACAGGTTACAAATATAATACTGACTTCCGGTTTTAGAATATGACAAAACATTTTTGTGCCAAAAACATAATTTGAAGGATGGGAGTCAGAGACAGTGACTTTGGCCACCAAACCAGAAATCAGTTCTTGGTCCTGCTCCAGTCCCAATGACAGTCACCACCTCCTTCCCTCCCTGTCATATGCAAGAGGATTCAGGACAAGACCAAGAGCAGGACCATTTTTTTCTCTTCTTATGAGGTAACACCACTCCCACCACACACAGGTCTAACTTTTGAAGTCCAGATATCGTCAAAATGAAAAGCATTAAGTGGATAATTCAAAACTCTATCATTAGCACAGATAGTGGCACTGGTTGTCCTGTAGAAGAATCCTGCAGCACATTTAAACAAATTTTTAATAAATACCATTTTAAACAGCCATGTAAGAGGGTAGATTTTACTTTATAGGAGAAATCGTTGTCCCTCTAGTTGATAAAATTATCTCCACAGGCAGCAACGTCCTTAAATGCTGACTTGGAGTATTTAATCTGCTACCTTATCTCTCTCTTCTGCAATTTTCTGGCAAACATTGTCACACTATTCCATTTTGTCTAATTTGTGGGCCAAATATTGAAGTCCTGACACAGGCAAAATCTTTAATCTGCCTTTGAAGTTATCCAGAGTTTTGTTTGAGAAAGATGTAGCTTTTTACTTGCGATTTTTCAGATCAGCTATCCCCTTTTTACAGGCAGGGACGGGAGGCAGCAGAAATATTGCGATGTGGCCATAGAAATGAAGGCAACATGGGCTGAGCAGCGAGTCCTTGCTCATCTTCCCTCCCCGGAGCTTGTTCTCTTTCTGGATCGCATCTCCTTTGGGAAGCTCCCACCAGCAGCCCTACCTTCGGAGTCCCAATTCTATCAGCTGGAGAAAATTGAGGGATCCCACACTCAAGCGTCTGTTGGACATTCGAAGAGCATCCCGATTTTAAAAGTTTTGTGCTTTTTTTAAAAGCACCAGCTGCCAAAAAAACACCTGGAAATCATTATTAGCTCCCTCTGAGAAAGGCAATGGCAATTTCCTCTTTTTCTTTTTCTTTTTTTTTTTTTAGGAGTTACAGAGTAATGCCTGGGAAGGCAAAGCCCTAAAAGGCTAAGCACACAGCAAATTGGTTACTTAGAAGCCTTGGCAGCAGCAGCCACAGATTGTGGAGCAACATATCATTTGAGCACTTCGAAGCAGTTATTTCAAAACTTTCCAAGTTATTGACAAAACAGCAGGATCACGTCAAATTTACTCACACCGGTATTAGAGCCCAGGCTGTGGAACCGGTTCTTGCAGCACTGAAGTCGCACAGACACACACACAGATCCCCTCTGAAGCCTTCCCTGCAGAGCCAGGGGACCTCAACAGGAGCTTGGGATGTCAGCCTTGGGCTACGCTCCCCACCAGCCTCCTCCTCCCCTTCTCCTCCATAACATTGGCCGCCTCTAACACCATCTGGCAAGGAGTTTTAAGATCATATCTTGGTGTGGTCCGTACAACCATCCCACCTGCAGCAAGCACTTTGTACCTGCACGGGAAATGCAGTCACCGTGAGGGGAAAGTGGGGCAGCAGCCTGCCTGTGCCGCTGGACGAGGGGCAAGCAAAGACAGATTAAAAAACCCCCACGCTTTCCAGCCATCCAGCATCTCCACGGTTCTCTGCCAAAGCACCATGGGATCACCGTGGTTCTCATTTTAGACTCTGCTAAGACAAACTGTGCAAGGGTAACCGCTCCAGGTAAACTACAAAGAGCCAAGGTCTGGGAAAGGGTCCTGTGACTTTCAGCTCTGAGGGACAGACCTCGAGGCACCCCTCCTCTTTGCAGCCTGGTTTGGCAAAGAGGCAAATCACAAGATTCCCGGAGAAGCAGCTGCCTTTGCATCACCAGCTTAGAGTTAACAGCAAAGCTAAATAATAAATACAGGGCACCCGCTGTGCTCTGCTACACGAGCGGCAGGGCTGTAATTACCTAGAACATGGAGCACAGAGGGATGCTGCGTTCACCTAACGCATTACCCACTGCTAAGAACGGCTTCCCAGGACTTTGATTTTTGAGCATGAACCCAAGGAGCAGCTGTCAGCAATAGAAATAAACCTCGGGGTTTGCCAAACAGCAGAACCACACAGGTTCCTACGACCTGTATGCACGGACCATGTGGTTGATGAAGGTGCTTGCAAAACCCCTAGGGAATGAGACACAAGGACACCTTTCCACCATCACACCTGCACCTCCGAGCTCTGGGGACAGATGCTGGAATTCAAGGCACAGGATGAGAAGGAAAGGAGAGAGAGGATTTTTCTTCTTAGCCTAACATCAAGGTCTCTGGTCTCAAAGGAACAAAGAGGTACTTCAGTCCTCACGGCTCTCCCCAAACTTCTCCTGCCTCCTACTCTCTAAATTCAGGCACAAAACGGTGGTAAACACTTCAAATCTCATCATTGTACAAGTAATTTTTGCCTTACTGAGCTAGCCATCCTTCCAACAGCTTTTGATTCCTTACAGCTGCAAGGTGCACCTGTCTGTCTGTCATCTTCCCATGAGAACCCATAAAACACACTTTCTGCCCTGGTGCGGCAAGGAATTATAGGTACAACTGGGGTATCAACTCCAGTGCAGCCCAAAATTTCACACAGAGGGGGAAAGAAGATAACATTCTTCTTTGACACCACACAAAGCAGAAAGCCTTAGAAGCCAAGAAAACACCCAAGAGAACAAGGATATTTAGCTACTTGCTGCACTAATTCTCGTGCATGTGAAGATGACTTATCCCAGACTCTTCCTCACCACAGCTTGCTGGAAATAAATCAAACCAGCTTCCTTTACTGAAGTTTCCACCAAGACCATGTCAGCCTGTACATTTACAGCTCTTGCATCGATGGCTCCTTCTTGTTTTACTGGCAGAATGCTCCGACAATGCAAGCCTGACTGACAGACAGCAGTTTGTAAGCCAGCCTACCCTCAAAAGAAGGGCACTAGCTAGAAAAGAGCTCCATAGGTCCTTCAGGGGGGTACACGAATTGCTGAATAGCTGGTGGATCATGAGCTGGCCTCTGGCTTCTCTCAGCACAGCACAAGTACGTAATTCTTTTTCTGTTAAGCTCTTTTTCATCATTAGCTCTGAAAATTCAAGAGAATAAAAATAAATCAATACTATAGTGAATAGTTTTTCTCTCTGGAGATAAAAGTCTCTAAATACCAAGCAGTATTATGGACGATTTGCTTCTCAGAGGAAGCAACTTGCTTCTGAAACTACTTATACATTTTTAATGACTCTGTGAGATGGTACTCTTTGTTGCTATCACCACATCTTCCCGGTATTTTGAGATTTTTGTAGGAAAAAATCTTAGACAATACAGAAAAAGCCAAAACGCAGAATAAAATGTTAAATCACAGAATAAAACTCTCCCGAAGCTGCCACACCAATAGCAAAAATATCCCTGAACATCAGCCACCCTTCTTCATCCTCCTTGTTGTTCCCTCTGCACAACCTGCCGAGGACACTATAAAAAATCCAGGTGTATTGTTAGTTCTGATCACAATTCCAAAGGCAGCGCCTTTCTGCCAAATCTGTTCGCCACCTGCCCTTCCACCTCTGTCCTGCCACATCTGGCCACAGAAGTTTGGGGAGCCCTGGAGATGAGCTGCATCCCAGCAAGACAGGGCACAGCAACTTCACTCCAAGGTCCTGGAAAGCAGTTGCAGAACTGGCCCTTCAAAATTCCCAACTTGTGCTTTATCCTGATGCAACCTCCATCTACTTGTACTGCAAAACCCCCACGCCGCTGTCTGCAAGCTCACTGAGAAACCACAAACACCCTATAAAAACTGGCAGCAGCTTCAATCTTATCCAGGCAGTGGGGAGGCAGACTTTTACCCAAATGCTAGATTGGAGGTGGCTTTGGTGTTGATGGATCTTTCCGTGCATCACCAGAAGCTTGATGAACGGTGAGAAAATGCAGCTCAAGCAAAGCTAGAGTAATCCTCACAGCTGAGACAACAAATTTAACAGCTGCAGAGCAGCGAGAAATTCTGAAAAACTGTCAAGAAATATCAACAAACAACTTAACAGAGCCTTTTTCATTCTTTCAGCAAGCAAAGACGGCGATTTCCTTTTGCAAAGCTTCATCTGTAGAGGCTCAAATTAAAATGGAACTGACAAGAGGAAAGGAACCTAGAAAACATTTCAACAAGTGACTGTTGCTGGGCTCGAAAAAGTGCCTGTGCGTCTCAGGGGGAGGGGAGGAACTAAATTGCAAGTCTGCCCCAGGGATACCAAGATGTAAGTTCAATTAAACTGAAAAATCACTCCATTTAAAGCTACAAACAATGTTTTCCTCTGCAAAATGCATAATTAGCATGGGTAAATCATTACCACTAGGTACTGTCGCAGTCAAAACCTCAGCCAGATTCAGAGAAGGATCAGACATTTATAAAGAGAATGAATAGCTAGAGTTACAATAGTTAAGTTGGGAGCGGGAGGGGAGAAGGCAGAATAAGATTTTGGATGGCAAGCAAAGCCTTCTCACTGCAAGGCACTGGCTAAGTCTCTGTGTTTGAGGGTTAGAAGAATCACCCCTTGAGGCAAGCCT